CAGGTTCGAATCTATTCAGTAGTACCTAACCACAAAAAATAAAATCTATATCACTCTAAAAAAAATTAACAACTTTCTGGTTATTCATAGAGAACTTGAAACCTAACTTCTAAATGAGATGTACCAACCCAAAAAATTACGTTAACTACACACTCATTTTTAGAGATACATTCCCCCAATAACTTTGGTCAAATGCATGCAAAATTGGTCGATCAAAGTAAAAAAAGTGAGCGACATGATACGATAATTTTAGGCATATATCTTAACAAATTTTAGATTTTCCGACATGCTAAGGGCTTAAGTTTAATGTTTTAGGGTTAGAGTCATTGTTTAAAGTTGGGGATTATGATTAAAAGGTTAAGAGTTTACGAGGGTTGGGGCTTGCTATTTGCCGCCAACCAAATTGCTATTTGCCGCCAACCAAAAAAAAAAAAAGTATATATATACATCTTTGGTTAAGGAGTTTCACAATCTACAACATATCCAACTTTCAGAAAACGTATTGAATCAGAAAAATTCAACGCTCGCCGGAAAAGTCGCCGGAAAATCATCGGGAAAGCCTATCCTCGACATATACTGCGTACACACATCAATGAATCATCACTAAGCAGGTGCGTAATTTTTTTGTAGTTTCGAACAATTTTTCCGACGATTTGAAACGAACAGACGGTGGGCCGAAAAATTCCCGTGGCCGGAACCTGGCCGGGCCGAAAAATTCCGGCGGCCGGAACCAGGCTGAGCCACAAGATATTTTCGGCTCAGCCTGGCTCCAGCCGCCGGAATTTTTCGGCCCGGCCAGGTTCCAGCCTCCGGAATTTTTCGGCCCAGCCAGGTTCCGGCCGCGGCCCACCGTCTGTTTTTGGAATTTTTCGGAAAAATTCGATTTTAGGAGTTGAATTTAGAGTTTAGGAGTTGAATTTAACGTTTAAGAGTTGAATTTAGCGTGTAATAATTGAATTTAGAGTTTAGGAGTTGAATTTAGCGGTTAAGACTTGAAATTAGCGTTTAGGTTCACAGGAATATTGATGTATTATATTGTAATTGTAGGAAAAATGTCAGAGTTGTTACCGGCCGATCATGATTACACACATGAATTTGAGAATGGGATCCATTATGCAAGTGTGAAGTTAGCTGAGTTAGCTGCAAAAACAATCGCTCAGGAGTGTGGGTTCTTTATTGTTAGAGGAGCATGGAAACCGAATACTGCTGGACTACATCTTGTTACTGCCCTCTGTATGTATTGCGACAGAAGTAGTAGGATCGTTAAGTCTTATAAACCAGACCCTACGAAGGAGACGCGTGGGAATATTAGTTCGAAGGGTACTGGTTGCCAGTTTCAGATATGTATAAAGGAAGTATGGCAAAAGGATGGTCCAAACACATGGGTCATAGTGGGAGTGACAAGTCGTGAAACCGGAGCTAATAGAGGGTTTCACAACCATGAAAAGGTGTTGTATCCAGAACATCACCGGCACAACAAACAGTTTAGTGAGGCTAAAAAAGAGAGGTTAAGATTAATGAGGAAGGCGGGGGTGAGACCAAATCAGCAGAAGACGACACTCAATACTGAAGGGGGTGTGCATCATGATATCAAACAGATGTACAACATAAATTCCAAGACAAGATTGGATGAGATGGGTGAAATGGATGCGATATAGTTTGCGCTTCACAGAGCTGAACATCGTGGGTACCATATCTGTTTGCAAAAGTACTCTAATAATGTGCTCACTAATCTGTTTTTTGCGCACCCGACGTCCATTCAGATGTTGCATGCATGGCCGTACATCATCTCATTGACTCGACCTACAAGACCAACAGGTACGGCTGGCCATGGGTTGAGATTATTGGGGTTACTCCAGTCAAGAAGAATTTCAACATTGCATGTGCAATTATTAAGCAGGAAACAAAGGAAACATATGAGTGGCTGCTGCGATGTATTAAAGGGTTGCTCGGTGATACGGTTCCGAATGTCATTGTGACAGACAAAGAAGGTGGTTTGCTTGCTTCTATTCCTGTGGTCTTCCCTCTCCCACATACTGTCCACCTACTATGTTTATGGCACGTCAACAACTGTGTGAAGCAAAAGTTTGAAGTATTACTGGGTGGAATTGCAAAAAGAGAGGTAGCACAAGCGGTATAGAAGAAATATTTCGACAAAGCTACATGGAGTTGGACTCAGGAGGGTTTTCTTCAAAAGACTAATGAGTTTGAGAGGGTCTGGACAGAGAAGAACATAAAAATGGTCGACTACGTGCGAGGTGAGTGGTTGCCTCATCAGACAATGTGGGCAAAGTGCTACACGAACCATGTGTTTCATCTTGGTAACACGAGCTCGAATAGAGTTGAGTCATCTCACTCTTCATTCAAGACTTTCCTTGTGTCTGGTAGAGGAGCGATCGACACTTGTTTTGCGAAGAACCACAACTACATGGAACATCAGTTTCTGGAAGTGGTGAATGAACTGCACAAGTCACTGAACCGCAATATGAGTAGGGCAATTGAGCCTCCGTGCACGTTTTTGAGGAGGGTCGTTAGTTCTGAGGAAATCAAACTGATGTTAGATGGGGCGGCGGAGTTGAAGGACAGTTGTGCGTGTCATTTTCAGATGACACATGGGCTCAAGTGTGCTTGCCAGATTGTTCAAGCTAAGGAAGAAGGACGTCAATTCTATGCTCAAGAGTTGCATGTATTTTGGCGGACTTTGGATTATAAAAAACCCCCACGTCAACAACAAGTCAGTGATGAAATTGAGCTTCAACGAGAACACTTTAGGCGTCTTACTGTTGAGGTGGAAGAAAGAGGTCCTGAAGCAGTGAGACAAGCAAGAGATGCCCTATTCTATGGGCTTCACCCAGCAGAGGACAATGTGAGGGAACCGGAAGTGAATGAGAATTCGAGAGGACGGCCTCGAACAAACACCAGTCGCATTCGTTCATATTATGAGCGGTCTCGTTCGAGGAGTACTGGGCCTGGTTCGAGTGGAGGTAGGGGGCGATCGAGTGGAGGCAGATCCCGATCGAGTGGAGGTGAATCTGACGAGCATGATACAGGTGAGTAATTGGTTTAATATTATAGTCCATCTAGTAGTAATTGGTTTATGTTTGTAAATTTTTTCCATGTAATTTTGAACGTTTGGTATATTTTTGTAGATTACTCATCCCAGAGCCCCCTAGGGCAATATTCTTACGCTTACATCGATGAGCTTTTTCCAGAGTTTGTTCGACCTTTGCTGGTAGGCGATTTCAACCCTAGTCCAGACGGCCATTGTGGTTTTAGGGCACTTTCTCATTGTATTTATGGGGATGATAGTCACTATCTGCTCATGAGATCGACGATTGTCCAAGAAATCCAACAACATTTTTGGAAGTACGAGAACTTGTATAATGGTGGTCCACTAGCTCACATTGACCGCATCAATTGGCTAGAGGCGGGTTCCGCACCACCGGGGCGATGGATGGATTCTGAGGACTTGTTCGTGTTTGGCACCATCTACAACATCGCAGTCATGGTCTTCACATACCAGGTGTTTGATGTCAATAATGGAAACCGTCCACTACCCAACCGCTACGATGATGCCTATACTGTATTGCCTATTGATGCGGAACCAGGTACTTTGCCACCAACCATGTTCTTATCACTGCACTATGTGAACAACCACTACATTCGATTGTACTTCAACCAGGATCAGTTTCCTATACCCCCTCTGCATCCACTTTGGCATGGGCTAGAAAATCCTAATGTGGCGGAGTGGGGAGCTATTCTCGAGGTTGGACAAAATTTGTTTGCGAGCCTTGGTGGTCGGCAGCGAGCCAGGCAGAGTGACCCGCGAAGAGCTAGGGGAAGGGGTAGGGGTAGGAGCAATGCATAGTGTTGCAATACTCTATTTATATGTTGTTGTTTTTCTAGTTGTATTTTTAATGACCCTAGTGTCATTATGAACTTATGGATTTCATTATGGATTTCGAGCGAGTTCGGGGTCGATTGGATGAAGATCGGGCGCGAGGCAAGTCAAAAAGAAAGCCACACGGTCACACACACAACTCACACGGCCGTGTGAAGTTTCACTTTGGCCGTGTGGAGATCTGCGAGGCTTCACATGGCCAGGCTGGGTGAGCTACACGGCCGTGTGAAGTTGCACTTTGGCCGTGTGGAAATCTGCGAGGCTTCACACGGCCAGGCTGGGTGAGGCTACACGGCTAGGCTGGGTGAGCTACACGGCCGTGTGAAGTTGCACTTTGGCCGTGTGGAAATCTGCGAGGCTTCACACGGCCAGGCTGGGTGAGCTACACGGCCAGGCTGGGTGAGGCTACACGGCCAGGCTGGGTGAGCTATACGGCCGTGTGAAGTCGCACTTTGGCCGTGTGGAATTCTGCGAGGCTTCACACGGCCAGGCTGGGTGAGCTACACGGCCGTGTGCCCCTGGCCGTGTGGTTGCACTTTTTTCATTGTTAGGTGTTGTGTTTTAGCGTGTCAGAAACATGCAGTCTAAACATAACCATCCGATCCAAACATACATAAGTAGTCAAACATCCGATCTAAACACAAATATGGAAACATGCAGTCTGAACATAAACATCCGATCCAAACATACATAAGTAGTCAAACATCCGATCTAAACACAAATATGGAAACATGCAGTCTGAACATAAACATCCGATCCAAACATACATAAGTAGTCAAACATCCGATCTAAACACAAATATGGAAACATGCAGTCTGAACATAAACATCCGATCCAAACATACATAAGTAGTCAAACATCCGATCTAAACACAAATATGGAAACATCAAAACAACTAAAAATCCCCTGGAGGGGGGAGTCCCTGAGAAGCCCAGTACTCAGTCCACACATCCTGCACTCCATGCAGTGCCCTGTAGGCTCGTCGAGAATGCTCAACAAACTCCTCCTTGGTCCCTGTTGCTGCTCGAACCGCAGGTGCAAACGTGTACAAAAGGTCGCGACCACGCTGCATAAAATAAAAAAAACAAGAACAATTTTTAGTTTCATACTAAGTATATTTATAATAGAGTAACGATTTAGTGGTCAAATCTTACCGCCGCGGAGTCAACTAGTCGATCTGCATCTCCATCATCCCGTAGGACTCTACAATGAGAGTGCGCCACGAACCAGTCAAGATAGTCTCTCGTAGTCTCATATGGATACGTCGTCCACGGCTGAGAGTACATGTCTATATGAACCATGTGGGATAGCAGAGCATCCCATGCAGCATCAAAACTCTCAGGAATCCGAATGACATATCCACCAGGTGCCTCTGGTCGGTCTGCTCACTAAGGACGCGAAGGGGCAGGCGGTACCATCTGTCGGTATCCAAACTATCGGAGGCAACGGGCTTGATCATAGAACTCGCCTATGTCAGCGAACCGGATGACTCCAGTGTACAAAGAGCGACGCACTGCCTGATGAGGCCTTTGATGGAAAGGTGTCCAAAACACATCAGAAGGGGTCAAGCTGTCAAGAGCTCGACGGTAGAACGCCAACCTCCCAGTGGAATCAGCCACAGAACCAGGTGTCGGCTGCCCAACCCATCGTGAAGCCCAAGCATCATCAGGTCCAACAGCGGCAGGCTCGAAGTGAGATGGCCTGAAACCCGGAAAATACTCGTAGATCCAGCACTGCAGAAGTGTGAGACAACCAGCCATCCCCCTGGCACCAGCACGAGACGCCTGACCAAGGTATCTGTACAACCAAGCAAGTGTACCTGACGCCCAACTATACTGATCTAACTCCTCCAACTCGTCCAAAAATAGGTTCACCACCGACCGAACCCTATCTCTACTCTTGTCCACAAACAAAGTGGACCCCAACAGCAACAACAAGTACGACTGCGCCTCTGTCACATGTGTCCTATGGCTCTGCAAGTATCTGGACGCCATCTCTGCAAGAAAACCACCCTTCTCGTACCACTTACCCCTATTATTATATCCAAGGACCTCCGAACGGCCACTCAACTGCTCCGAGTTCATCCCAAGAAGCGCACACAAACCCGCCTCCGGATGGTCAAGCTGCGCAGAACTCCTACTCATCAGTCGTCCCTCAACAGGAATCTGCAGTAAGTACTGAACATCGTGGAGGAGGATCGTCATCTCTCCAAAAGGCAAGTGGAAGGTGTTCGTGTTTGGCTGCCACCTCTCCACAAAAGCTGAGATCAAAGCCTCGTCAATCGCTATCTTGCGGAACATAGAGTAGATCAGGTGCTGGAGACCTGACTGCGCCACCAGATCCTCCGCCTCAACATGACTAAACACGTAGCTACTCAGATAAGAAACCGCCGATGTACGGCTGTAGCAACTGATGACGCCTCGATCTCCAGCCCCCGTCCAAAGCGCATAGGCAACGTGGCCACGAAAGCTCCTAATGAGGCTAGGATCCGTAGGTCCACCAGGACACTCACCAACAAGCTCCCACGGTGGAGGACCACTCGAACGTCCTCCCCTACTCCGTCCAGTCCCCAAGCTCTCTGTCTCCTGACGAGCAGGTGGTACGAATCGCCCAGCTCGGTCCCTATACATAGCAGGACGTGATGTTGCCGTACAAGACGGCCCTCGTCCATGTCCACGCGTAGGTGGAGGGACCACGATATCCTCATCATTATCGTCCTCATCAAAATCAGCCGAGACCACTCTCGATGCAGCACCCTGGTTCCTCCCATGGGAACCAGACGCCCGTGATGCCGAACGAGCAACTACAGTAGGAGCCTCTAACTCATCCTCCCCTAAATTTGTCTGTGACTGATGTCCAATATCTCGAGAGCGCTTATTCTCCTTATTCTTCCTTCTTGCTGATGCATCAACAACCCTACCATTGAATCTATACAACTCATTCCCACCCGCATCACCCGCATCATCCATATCTAATTATCTACAAATTTACACAATATCATACTTAGATGCGCACTAATTAATTAATTTTCTATTAACTAATGTACTATTAACATTAATTGTTAATTAATCACAAATTAATTAAATTTCTATTAACTAATGTACTATTAACCTTAATTGTTAATTAATCACAAATTAATTAAATTTCTATTAACTAATGTACTGAATATTAACATTAATTGTTAAATCAATTCTTTATTAATTAAAATTCCATTAACTAATCTAAGTAATTAAACTTTCAAACGCCTATTACAAAAAAAAACATTTATACACCAACTTAAATAAATATTAACACTAATTGCTAATTTTTATTAACTAATTAAGTAATTTTTTATTGATTAATTAATTATCATATTAAATTAAATAAAAAAACTGGCCGGGCCGAAAGAATTTTGCGGGCGGTGCGTCGGCCGGCCGAAAAAAATTTGCGGCCGGAGCGACGTCGGGCCGAAAAAATTTTGCGGCGCACCGGGCTGAAAAACATTTGCGGCCGGTGCGCCGTCCGGCCGAAAAATTCTTTCGGACCGACGTCGCTCCGGCCGCAAATTTTTTTCGGCCCGACGTCGCTCCGGCCGCAATTTTTTTCGGCCCGCCGTGTTTTTCGCCGGAAATCTGGAAAACTTGCCGGAAAACTGGAAAACTGACCGGAAAAAGTAAACTTACTTGTTTTCCGACGATTGAGGGCGACGGGAGGTTAGCCGGCGACGGAAGCACTGGGCTCGTCAACAGAAGTTTTTGTTGGAATGAGTCAAATGTTCCTGATATCCGAATTTATAGAATGAAAGGAAGGGAAATAGCAATTTGGTTGGCGGCAAATAGCCGTTCACTAGTTTATTTAGCAATTTATGGATTATGATACTGGTTTTGAGGAGATGGCGATTTGGGGGAGGGGCGTTCATGTTTGTTTAAAGCCTAAGATTGGAACAAAAAATTATATACATTTTGACATATTTTGGAACAAAAAATTGAGACATATATTACAAGTCTATACCATGATGGTAACGTTTGGTAGTTGATAACGATGTAATTGCACATATTTGCGCCCCTAGTTCTCATCCGTTTGAGGGGCATAGTCGTGTATTGTGGCCTATTTTACGCCGGGTTGTGCTATTTTGTCATGTTTCAGGTCCCAGGTGTCAAAGGGAAGGCTAAGCGCGAGTTTCGGGGCATTCGGAAGTCATTTCGGTGAGCTGGAGCCAAAACACGGGCACACCTAAGGCATTACACGGCCGTGTTCCTGTGGCCGTGCTTTTTATGCCGAGAGCTGAGCTTATTACACGGGCAGGGCCGAGACAAAGCACGGCCGTGTTCCACCAAAGCACGGTCGTGTCCAACGCGAAGCACGGCCGTGTTTATCCCAACTGCTGGCCGTGTAATTAAGCCTGGCCGAGGCACGGGCAGGCTCAGGCAAAGCACGGCCGTGTCCTCGACCGTGCTTTGGCCACTGATGCCTTTTTAAGCAGATTTTCAGCCAAAGAGAGGGGGATTCGAGTTTTTGAGAGATAGAACGATTCCTAGAGAGAGAAAGTGACGAGCAAGAGTTCCCAAGTGCCCTAGATTGATCTTCAACACCATTGGAGGCCAGCTTGAGCTTGGAGAAGTGCCAATCAACGTCCAAAAGCAGGAATCCATCCTTCGCAGTATGAATTCCGTGTCTGATTCTGCTTTTGCTTTCTTCTCCATGGAGTAGTTCTCCCATTCATCTGGGTATGGAGAACCCTAGATTTGTATGTTAGGTTTGATTGTATGAACCCAAGTACTGATTCTATGATTGATTATATTCGATCGAGGTTTGAATGATTGAATGACTTGAATCCTGATCAAATTCCTGTTGTTTCTGCTTTAACCTAGAATGAGAATATCTGCCTAGGTTAATAGAGTATCCTTGATTGAAGGTAGGGAGTTGGTGACTTTAGTCGAGGAACCAACTCACTATTCTGTACCGGATTTACTCCGGTAGTGGAGGTTTTGTTCTTAGGGCCTCAATCTGTTTACTCCGGTGGAGGTTAGTCGCCCGCTAGAGATTCAGATTGAGAGGGTCTGAAGACCTTTAGTCGAGACTTCAGGCTGTTTAAGAACCTTCCGCAGTATAACTTTCATAGAAACTGAACTTGGTAATTACAATCCGGCTTAACTGCAGTCTAGGGGGAACCATATCCGGGTGACCTCTCTTAACCTGAATACAACAGTTTACTTGCTTTGTTTGTTTGGTAGTTTAGACTTGCATTCCAGTTTCATTGCTAGATAACAAGAATTCACTGAGTAGTCATCAAATCTAGGACCCGGGTTGATAATTAAACCTAAACCCGCTATACTACGCTTTAGGAAGTGGTTTCACTTGGCCAATTCCTAGGGTGACAGTAGAGTCGAGTCAGTAGTACATAAGACTAAACGTGCTTGTATGAAAGTGAAGGTGGTATGAATATATCATAGTGTAAAATAGTTGTATATATGATACTAGGAATTTAATAACCGTCATTATGTCACCTTTCAGCACCACTACCACGAGTCCTTATACCAGTGTAGTATAAGGTGATATATTTGGTCCTGAAATTTCCCCCCTGAAATTTGTTGATCACAATTGTTTGGATAGATTAATAGTCAAAGTGGTATTTGTAAAGTCAAATAACTCATTAATTATTCATGTGATATTTCATTTTTATTTCAATGGTAATTAGATTAGAGTATAGATTGTTTGGTAGAATAATGCAAATGTGGTATATTTGGCAAAAGTAGAATGGTAAAAAAAATTATTTCGAAATAACACGTGGGTAGGAGTTATTTCAAATAATTCACTGCCCAAATAACTCATTTCAGTAAAATACTACCAAGTGAGTTATTTGAACCCAAATAACTCACAAATAACCCACTCAAATACTTCATCCAAGACTCATTCATTATGTACAATTTTTTTTTCACAATTTGGGGAAAAATGAATGTGATAGAGTGATACCATGTGATAGGAGGGTGGTAATAATGGTGTTACAATATATTTTTTTGTTGTTGTCAAAATGATGAGAACACGCAAAAGATAAATGTAAATTCCAATATTAGATGATATATGCAAAAGAAAAGGTTGGTGAGATCATGAGAACAAACATTGGGATGCCCAATTTTCCAACTTCCCCACGCATCATACGTGCAGTAGGCATCTCATCGTATCTATGAACCTTTTTGTTGATGAAACAGCCTGAGCCAGCGAGCTGCGACGGTGTCCGTAGCTTGAAGGCCAGCACCCCCACCGCCGACGACCGCCGAGCTGCCTGTGGCTGTGTCAAGGCCGCCGCCGCCCGTTACCCGGTGAAGGACGCCGCGGCTTCAAGCCTCCCGTCCAAATGCGGGGTTGATATTGGAATCCCTATCTCCAAGGCCATTGACTGCCAGACGTAAGTACATATTTGTATACTCTGTTTTCTTTCAAACAAATATTATGCTCCTCTTGTCAAAGACTAGTTGATAGCAATAATTCACGTCACTCAAACAAAAATCAACTTATATGACTTGAAAGTTGCTCATATCCAGATATCATAATTTAGCGTACATGATTATTTTCTGAAGAAGTTTAATAATAGAATTTATACCACCGTCTAACTTGTTTCTATGTTGCATGTGTTTTGTTGATTGGATTGCAGCATCAACTGAGCATTGGAAATGTGGATGAAGAAGCTCCAGCTACCAAAGTAATATAATGGCGTGGTGATCAAACTGATGATGAGAAATAAATCTTCCAATTTGAGGGAAGCTATAATTGAAGTATTGGAAGGTTGTATAAAGACAACTACTGTATGTGCTGAATGAAACTGTTATTTGTTAGGACGGAAATGTAAGAGTTGGTACATTGGATATCAAAATATTTATGGATTAATTACAAATTTCACTTTGTGTATAATTAATAACAATCAAATTGCCAACAATCTATGAATCTACCAAAATTCTTTTTGACTGAAATTAGGATTAACAATATCTTTGGTCTAGATTAACATTTAAACTATCAAATCACCTTTGAGTACCGTAAAGAAAATTCTTACACTTCCCAAACACATCTTAGGTGAAACTTTAAGAACCAAATCCCGAAAATATTCAAAGTTTATTGTTCATGTTCGTTAATTCAAGACTTTAGTGAAGAAACAAAGCTAGAGGTGGTTGGAAGGTTTTCTTTTGTGGGTTGGCTCTAACAGGAAAAAAATTATGGCAGGAGCAAGCTCGATGAGTAAGTTCTAATCTAACATAAAACTTAGATGAACATCAATATTGGACCATATCAACCAGCTTCTAAACAACTTGGTGTTCCTTCATTAGAAACTAAGAGATTCTGCAAACAAGTAATATTTTATCGATAAGTTCGGAACATTTCTCAAGTAAGTCAAGTAACAAGTTGCTATTCAAACCTCACAAACAACGCGTCATAGTCGCATTAGACTACATATAAAAGCTGTCACATAAGAACATCCTGGAAGTCATCAAATGGACATGCCATAGAGCGCCAGCATATAAACACATCATAAGAAACTACCACGATAACTACCACATCAACACGACACACTGGATCACACCGCTGCCACATCTATAATAATCATATAACGATGAATAAAATGGAATCATCAAACGAACATATCACAATAATGAATGATCATTTGAACATATCAAATGCACATTACAAAAGCATATCGCAAATAATCATCAAGCTTGCTTTGTTGGTATCACGCTTGTTTTATCAGCTTGTTAGCAAGTCTATCTGGTCGGATTGGTACCTTAGTTTACCAGTCTCATCCAGATATTTCATACTTAGTTTTGAAAAGTCAGTGATTTTCCCTGCCAGTTTGGTACCCTGTCAGTCCACTAAGTCTGCCATGTATGATTGGTCTCCATACTTAGTTTTTTTAGATCTTGTCAAGTTGGCACCTTGACGACCTACTAGCCATCTTGTCACCTCATCGTCGGGCTGACCCTGCACGTATTGTCTCTATACTTAGTTTTTTTGGAGCCTCATTAAACTGGTAGCTTGTCGCCTTGATACCCTGCCACCCTGTTGTCAAGTCATGCGGATTCAAGATTTAGTTTTGGAATGGCTCTTTGCTTTTTGAGCTTGATACCATCGTTCTTGTTGGAATCCTCTCCAACTTAGTTCCATATTTTCATATTTAGTTTTTTGAGTGTTTTGATAACTTGATACCAAGCCTATCTTTTCGGCTTGGTACCCTAGTTTGGTACCGAGACCAAGTATGTCTTGCTAATTCGGTATCGAGACTTAGTTTTTTGAATGACTCACCTAGTTGATACCCGACTTGATATCCTCATTGTCTTGCTACCAAGCATGTCTTGTTTATAGACTAGTTTTTAGACCCACATTTCTTACGAACGAGCTTGTTAAAAGGAAGAGAGTGTCAGCCATCGAGGCCATAGGGCGGTCAGCACCCTAGATCAGGAAGAGAGGCTCAACCTTTTAGGCCAAAAAATCCAACTATTTAATGCTCTACTAACTCATTTAATGTTTAATGTTGAGCTGACATTATAAAATCATTAATTTCCTTGAAATTAATATTTAGGGATACAAATTCACTTAGATCAAATCTCCAACCTCGAACCTCAGTGCTTACCTAACTACAACACAGGCCCATCCTACTCCAATCCGTTGGACGACCTCGACCTCCACAGGCCCGGCCCAAAACCTCTATTGTTGCCGACGTGACATCTTTGCATGTCAAGTAGTACATGACAAATAAATTTTAGAGATGGAAGTAAGTAACGTGGGACGGTGACAAGTAGTCCTAAACGAGCCGTACGTTGCATGGTATTTGTGAATTGGGTGGAGCCGCGCGACCGGTGCGGAGTTTTAGAAATTCGAATGAGTGAGGACTAATTTGAATTATCGTAATTAAAGGAGTGCGAGCCAAATCCTTACTGACTACTATAATCCCAAAATTTGGATAAAATTACAAGTAATTTTACTTGATTTTCAAAATTGAGGGAAACTACAGCCCTTTCTTGCTTCAATCTAGCTCCACCACTGAAACCGACGACGGGCTCGCAAGTCTGAAGAAGTTGGTAACAGAGAGAGAGAGAGAGAGTTGAGTAAGAAGTTGGTAACATCGGGGGTTGACGCATCGACCCATTTCCAATTCCATGGTAAACCTGCAAGTAAACTAATCGCAGAATGGTGGCTGGCATCACCTCCACAGAATCCCCACCGCCCAACCACCAAACTCATTGTTTCTCCTCAAAACCTAACAAAATTTTCTCCATTATAAATGGAATAGTGTGTTCCTAAGGCAACCTCTTATAAAATCAAACATGAAAAAGGGTAAAAGCTATAGCTAGCTAGTTCCCCAAAAGTTCAACCATCCATAATTTGCTTCTACATATGCCTCTTCTACTTGCCTCCCAAACTCCAACCGAAGATGATCATCAGAAAATAACTCACGTAAAAGGTACAGGTTAACAAATCAAGAACATTATCATTTTGCTTTCCTCACAATCGTTATTTGAATCTTACCCATTGTTTATGATTGAATCTTATACATGGTTTCTTTTTAGGTATATAATTGTTGATCTCAAGGTTAGAATGTATGGTGTTGCGAATTTTGATTTTTTTTAAAGGCGAATATGTTGTACATATATCTTCTCTATATTTGAATTTGACTCGGTATTATTAATTATTATAATTAGGTACTAACTGAAGTTGAGTTAGGTCGATCGTCTGCATGTGTCGGATAATGTCAATATATACTAGACCAAATTGAATATCTAAACTTAATTACCAAATCCAAGGAGGAAATTTACCCAATGCTAAATTGCATACGTATGGAAAGCCTTAAGGCGAGCTAGAATGTTCCAATATAATTCATCCTTTTGCAAGCTTAGCTTGTACTTTTTGGTTGATCAAGTTAAAAAGAAAGAGCAAAGAACAAAGGGTAATTAAGAAGTGCATGGTAGATGAATTGTAGCGGAATGATATAAAGATCAAACTTTATACATGATTTATTGAACTTTTAATATATAGTGTCAAAATCTTGACGGAAAGTTTTGTGTTCCCATCCAAGTAAAATCTCATATTGATGCGCAAGATATGGTTAGTTTGTATAAGTCTAGCATTTCTCATGTTTAAGGTATGCTTTTACTACTTTTTTAAGGTAGGCTAGATCTAATCATAGCCGATTAAGGGTAAAAAAAATTTGAGTTGATTTGTGATTCGAGGCTTAATTTGTCTGATATATATGCTTCAATTTAGCAGGAAGGAAGAAGCCCTTCAAACACTTTGGAACACTCATTTGAGCAAAAGATACTATGAGGCAAAATGCTGTCCTGGGCGCATAGGTCAAGGTTGATAAGAAGCCTCGACCTCGGACCTTCATATAGGAAGAAAAAAAAAAGGCGTCCAATTTGTCGACTTTATTACTTAACTGGGCCACATCACTTGGTTAGCTTATGGGACAAAGAGAATGTATATGAAGCTCAGTTGGAGGAAGATAATTCAGTGACGTTGTCCACGCAATACCAGCTAGGCCAGCTATGTACAAAAGGAGATGGGCATGCACTTGCTAGCATAATCACCATTTTGTCTTTATATGAAAATCAACAAAATTGTCATTTATAGCCCAAAAAAAAAGAAGATGATCTTTAGACTAGTTAATTAATTAGGGCTTAGCAGAATGTTATAATTTAACTTTCATCATTACTAATGCTAGGATTTAATTAGCAATGACGATTGGTTGAGTCTGAGGTATTTTGATCCAATTGTCATCACTTATATGAGTATTGGGTCGCAAGCAAAATAGGCTCGTATATATTTTAACAGTTTTAGGTTTGATTTGGGTAAACTCACCCATATATATGGGTCTATTTGGACCCAAATGATTGTACACAATAAAAAAATAGATTATGTGACTAATTACCTTCAATCCAATTCACAGCTTTAATGTTGATGCTTCCACATTTCCATATCTTTCAAAATAAATAAAAATGCAAAAATCTCATTAGAATTCGGTATCCAATATATTGGATCTAATCTAGAACCAAATTAAAAAGTTGGGTATAGATCTGCCTCAAATAGTGATGGAAAACAAGTGGGGCAGGATGTGCATCACAATACGCATACCTGCCCACACCAAGCGCGAGTCAAGTCAAGTAATAACAACATGGATACGTGGGCAGGTCGACCCATTCCCACCTGTTAATTGAAAAATGTAGATGTAAAATTTTATTTTTATGATAAAACAAAAGAAAACCAGTTTATTAATGAAAAATAGTGGTAATAGAATGAATGATTGAGTCTAATTAGTTAAAAAAATCAAACATAGTTCAATTAGAGTTGAAATTACTTTCATATATGTGATTCAGAAGTGAGATTGCATTTTAATTGTTTCTCTGCCTCTTGCGAACCATCTCCCTAC